GGCGCTGTGGGGAGACGCACGGGGGCAGGGGCCTGGCACGGCGCCCGCACACCCCGGTGATGGGAGACGCCCACCCACACGGGGCCCGGGCCCGGCAGGGCGCCCAGACTCCAGGGTGAGGGACACAAGGCACAAGTACATGGCACAGATAGGGCGGGGGCGGAAGCCAGCCCCTCTTGCTCCTGCATGTGGGTTTCTCTCTCTTCCCAGGGCCAGTGACTGGGATGCTGGAGAGGCTGCTGCAGGAGGGGGCCCGGCCCCCGGAGACGCCCACCCACACGGGGCCCGGGCCCGGCAGGGCGCCCAGACTCCAGGGTGAGGGACACAAGGCACAAGTACATGGCACAGATAGGGCGGGGGCGGAAGCCAGCCCCTCTTGCTCCTGCATGTGGGTTTCTCTCTCTTCCCAGGGCCAGTGACTGGGATGCTGGAGAGGCTGCTGCAGGAGGGGGCCCGGCCCCCGTCTCAGTGTACTCCCCACAACAGCAAGAGCAATAGGATGGGGGCACCCTCCCCCAAAACTGACAGCATCGACCCACAAAGGCGAGCGCCCTTGCAGGGCAACAGTGCCAGTCCCACAGCGGCTGGGGGCCCCGCCCGTGTGCACTCACTTGGGGTAGTTGTTGCAGTACTGGGTGTAGATATCGAAATCCTGGCTCTGCGGGGGGGAGAGAGTCTGTGAGGGAGTCTACAGGGGGAACCCCCCAGTGGCTTTGCTCTGCCCCCCTCCCTGGGCCCCGCCATAGCTGCCAGCGAGTGCTCCCCGCCTCGGCATCCTGCAACAGTGCCTGGGGCTGTGAGCTTCCCCAGCAGTGCCCCAGCCACTCCCCCTGAGCTCGGCTGTCCCCGGGAACCCACCATGCAAAGAAGCTCCCAGTTAGCACAAGCCCAGAGTGCATACGCTTGCCTGGCCCAGGGCCCCCTTGCCAGCCGCTCACCCCAATACCCACCTCCAGAGCCCCCCTTACCCTGTCCACGAAGCACCTGGCCACCGCCACGGGGTCGCTGTCACGCTCGCTGGGCAGGGGGAGAGAGGCCGTCAGTCAGCAAGGCGCCCCGCACGGGGCCCACCAAAACCACACGTGCTCCCGGGCCGGGCCTGCCAAGCACACGTGTTCTCCAGGGGACACACGGGCCAGGCACATGCTGCAGCATGCAAGGAACTCCCCCCCTTCCCCCCAGCCAGCGGCAGGCAAGCAGAGGAGCATGCAGCACACCCGGGTGGTACCCACCTGTGGGGCAGAGCCCCCTCCAGCGCTAGCAGGGTTTGAAAACAGAGCAAGTTATGAGCAGAGAGACGCGCACTGGCTGCCCCCTCTCCAGGGGCCCCCAGGCCGGCGCTCAGCCCCGCCACCTGCGTTAGAGCCATGCCACACGGGCCCCGACCAGACACCCCAAAGAGTCCAACGGACGGGACCCCCAACCTGGCCGTTTTCGGGCCCTCGGCTGAGGCGGCCTCAGGGCCACGCCGAAGGAGGTGGAGAAGGTACAGGTGGGCACCAGCCCCTCTTTGCTGGAGACGGGCTCAAAAATCAGAAATCTGTGGGGCAGGACTGAGGGGCACTGGCAGAGCCGTGAGGGGAGGGCAGGGCTGGGCTAGCAGGGGCTGTGGGGCAGGACTGTGGGGCACCAGCAGATCTGGGGCAGGAACCCCAACTTCTTTCTGCTGAGCACTAACACGGACTTCTCCAGTGCTAGGGGGACGCCCATCTTGCGGTATTTACTCTTCATCCTCTTTGGTTGGGACGGGAGGGGGGGGAGCAAGCGGGGC